TTATATAATCCCTGCCCCCGAGTCCACTCCACTGTGCAGCCTTCATTCTGGACTCCTGTCATGACAATAATATCTAATCATATATCACTTTTACACAGTTCTGTCTCTCATCTGTTTTAATGTAGTATAGTATGAACTTCTTATTGTAAGATATTGTTTGTGTTTTATAAACTATGCCCAGGCATTTTACTGTATCCTGACAAAATATGGATCACATGGAGAATAATGGGATTCTCAGAATATATAAATTGTGCTTATGCAAAATCTATAAGTAGACCAAGAAGCTGGTATCCAAATATAACAAATGAATATTACATGGTTTCAAATCAAGAACATTGTGCATCAGTGTTGTTGTATCCTTTCCTCTTATCTATTCAGCCTGTAAACTGAGCAAAAATTCAAGAAGCTGGACTAGATGAAGAAGAATATGGCATCAGGATCAGAGAAAGACTCATCCGCAAGCTGCATCGTGCAGATGACCTTGCTTGCTGAAAGTGACGAGGACTTGAAATACTTGTTGCAGAATAACAAAGACTACACTCTTCACTATCAGTTTCTCAATATCAATAAAGTAAAATCTTCACCATTAAATCCACAGGCAATATAATAGATGTATAAAAGATTAAAATTGTCAAGAAATTAATTTTACTTGGATTCAAGTCAACACCCATGACAGCGGCAGTCAAGAAATCAAAATATGGGGTCCATTGGGAAAACACACTTACAAGGACCTCTTCAAAGTGCTAAAGAGCAAAGGTGTCAGTTTAAAGGCTAAGGTGTGCCTGATCCAAGCCGTGGCATTTTCAGTTACTTCCTAAGCATCTAAAAGTTGGACCGTGAATAAGAATGAGAGAAGAATCTTTGCCTTTGAATTGTGGTATGTACTGAAGAGAAGCGTTAAATGTCCCATCAACTTCCAAAAGGATAAGTCTGTCTTGGAGGAAGTGGAAATTTCAGAAACTTTGAGCATATTATCAGCAAGGACCAATCATTGAAAAAAGACATCATGCTGGGAAAAGTGGAGGGCCAGAGAAAAAGAGGAAGACATTCAACAAGATGGATTGACACAATGACTAAAACAATGGCTCAAGCATATCAGAGATCATGAAGATGGTACAGGATAGGGTAGGGGTCTGATGTTCATAGAGTCACTATGAGTCATAGTCAACTCAACTGCACTTAACAACAACATAAGCATCCTGATGGCACAGGACGATCACACACACCCAGGACCTGGTAAACACCTGGCACACTCATAATCTTATTATACTTAGAAACTATTATACACTTAGCCCCCTACCATCACCTCTTCTGTAGCCCACAGTCATACATCCAGAACTGATGTACACCTCAATTCCTTTCTCCAAACCTCCCCTACAAGCCAGAACAGAGCTAACTAAGTACTGTTCTCTATGTTCCCAGAGAGCTCCTTGACTTTTACAAATTCTCAAAGACCATATAATTCCAGGACATTTTTATCCTTTTTTTCTTTCAGTGTAAATAGTAATAATTTCCTTTTTGCTCTCAAAAATGTGTTCATTTCTCCAGGTGTCTTCACAGCTGAATTCTGCCAAACATTCAAAGAGGATTTAGTACAAATTCTACTTAAATTATTTCCAAAAATTGAAAAAGAAGGAATACTTCCAGAATCTCTCTGAAGCAAACATAATCCTAACATCAAAACCAGGCAAAGATATTACTAAGAAAGAAAATTATAGACCAATATCTCTCATGAATGTAGATGCAAAAATCTTAAACAAAATCCTAGCTAGTAGAATCCAAAAGCACATAAGAAAAATAATTCACCATGACCAAGTGGGATCTATGACAGGTCAGCAAGGATGGTTCAAAATAAAAAAATAGTAAATGTAATTCTCTATATTAGCAAAGTAAATAACAAGAACATATGATCTTAGCAATTGATGGAGAAAAGGCATTTGACAAAATACAAGACCCCTTCCTAATAAAGACACTCAGCAAAATTGGAAAAGAAGGGAATTTCCTCAACATAGTCAAAAGTAGATGTGCAAAACCAAGAGCCAACATCATTATCAATGGAGAAAAACTGAAAACATTTTCCTTGTGTATAGGGACCAGACAAGGGTGCCCATTGTCACCACTTCTATTCATTATTGTATTGGGAGTGCTTACTAGGGCACTACAACAAGAGAAAGAAACAAAAGGTGTCCAGATCAGCAAAAAGATGGTTATAAAATTTCTCAGATAACATGAAAGTATACACAGAAAACCCCAATGACTCAACCAAAAAACTGTTAAGTGTTAGTAGGCCAGTTTAGCAGAGTGGCAGGATATAAGATCAATTTCCAAAAATCAGTGGAATTCTTCTACAGTAGCAAAGAGAACTCACAGAAGGAAATCAAGAAAACAATACCATTTACAATAGCTAACCACAAATTTAGATACTTGGGAGTGAACCTTACTAGAGATACAAAAGAACTGTACAAAAAAACCTACAAAGTATTTCTTCACGACACAATAAAAGACCCAAAGAAATGGAAAAAAATATGCCCTGTTCATGAATAAGAAGACTCAATATCTTTAAAATGACAATCCTACCAAAAGCAATCTACATGTTCAATGCAATCCCAATCCAGATATCAAATTCATTTTTCAAAGAGATTGAAAGGGAAATTGTCAAGTTTATTTGGAGAAACAAGAGATCCCAAATAAGGAAAGCACTTCTGAAAAACAAAAACAAGTTGGGAGGTGTAGCACTCCCTGACCTCAAAATCTACTACAAAGCGATAGTAATCAAAACAACATGGTACTGATACAATAACAGGCACATAGAACAATGGAACAGAATTGAGAACCCAGAAATAGACCCAGCTGTCTAGGGTCAACAGATATTCGACAAGGAATTCAAAGCTAACGAATGGGAAATGACAACCTCTTCAACAAATGGTGCTGGCAAAACTGGACTTCTACCTGCAGAAAGCTGAAATAGAATCCACATCTCACACCATACACAAAAATCAACTCAAGGTGGATCAGAGACCTGGGAGTAAAGCCTGAAACTATAAAGTTCATAAGAGACAAACTGGAATCAAGCTTAGAAGACCTAGTCCATGGTATAAAGAGACTGCCAAATACAACCAGAAATGCACAGTCTGAAGAGGATAAATTTGATGACTGGGACCTTCTAAAAATCAAATCCATGTGTGCATCAAAATCTTTTTCCAACAGGGTGAAAAGAAAACCTACTGACTAGAAACAAACATTTAGTAATACCGTCTCAAACAAGAGGGCCATAACAAAAGTTTACAGAATACTCCCGGTCCTCCACAAGAAAAAGATTAAATAACTCAATTACAAAATGAGCAAAAGATACAGAAAGAAAGAATTTTCACAGAGGAAGATATTAGAATGGCAAACAGACACATGAAGAAATGCTCCAAATCACTAGCAATAAAAAAGATGCAAATCAAAACCACAATCAGGTGCCATCTCACTCCAGTAACAGTGGCAAAGCTTACCAGGGCAGCAAATAATAAATATCGGAGAGGATGTGGTGAGATAGGTACTCTTGTACATTGTTGGTGGGATTGTAAAATGGTACAACCATTCTAGAAGGCAGTTTGATGCTTCCTAAAAAAAGCTGAACATAGAAATTCCATATGACGCAGCTATTCCACTGCTTGGAATATACCTTGAGAAAATGAGGACTGAGGAACATATGGTGTACACCAGTGTTCGTAGCAGCATTATTCACCATTGCTAAGAACATGGAAACATCCCAGATGTCCAACCACAATTGAATGGCTTAAAAAATTATGTTACATTCACACAATGGAATATTACACAGCACAAAGGAACAATCATTTTATAAATTACTACCTGACTTGGGAGGGACTGGAGAGCATTACGCTGAGTCAACTATATCTGTCTCATAAGGATAAATACTATATAAAACCACAGAACTAGTATTAGGATCTAAAGGGGAGGGTGGAAGCAGAGGAGTGAGGATGTGTAGGGGGAGAGGGGATTAATCATGGGGTTGTACAATTTGATGGAGGGGTGAGGGGAATTGGAAGAAGCTGGTCTGGGAAACAATATATTCAAATTTTGTAAATAAACTAGTATAATTGAAAAAATTTTAAAAAACCAAACCTGTGTCCATTTGAATAATAGTAACTTTACTCACCTACTATGCACAGCAAACACCTGACACATTCTCCAGTGTGTTTCTCAAGAGTATGCTCTATCCATGTTTTTATAGCGCTGCTGTCTAGTACAGTATACAACACGTGCATAAACATTTTTAAGTGAAAGAAGGAATACAAGAATGGCCCAGTATGGGATCAGAATGGTTGAAAGAGCTGCATGGTTCTCTATGACCACAAGCCAGTTATTTCCCAGACTCTGTGGTCCCTGGACCAACTAGGCTTTTAAAGATCCCAAAGTCATTGTAAAGCACCATCTCAGACGAGCTCAGCTTATTTACCTTCACATGTGCTGTTTGGCTTCAGGGGCGATGAAGTTGGAGACTCCTGAGCACAGAGACATTGGTATGAGCCCTCCACATTTAGACAGTGCTCGCTTCCAGAGCAGGTGTTGAGTTCACTGAAGAGACATTCATTTACATCTGTGAAAGAGGAGAACAGTTCAGAATACTAACTACAGTTGTAACCACCTCACTATTAACATCCAAGTTGGTCTCCTGTGTAGATTTCCCTGGCTTGAGCTGAGGAGGTTTTACGCAGTGACCCTAAGGGTCACTCTCTGGTCTACTCATCCAAGCTGTTCACATGGCACATTCACCTAGCAGCCATCACTTGCCCTTAGGCAGCTGCTGTTGCCTGAGGAAACTATTTTGCGTCAGTATTAAGACTGAGTGGTCATGATAAGACACGGAACTAAACTCTTACACCACATATAAATCTTGTGAATAGCAGCTTTCTGAGCTGAGAAAGAAAAGAGAGCAGAAGGCCACTTTGTATTTTCCCTTAAACACAAAAAACTAGATCAACTCATAAAATACTAAACTCCCCTGTCTCTGGGCCAAAATTAACTAGTCTATTTCTTCACTCCTCACGCCATTGCCCCTTCCCTATACATAAGAATGACATTGTTGTTGCATGGAACCAACTCATAACTGACTCCCCAGTGGGTTTTCAGAGACTTTAAACTGTATGAGAGGAGACTGTCCATCTTCCTCCGATGTGGTAGCTAGTGGATTAGAACCACGTATCTTAGGGTTGATAGTGCAACTCTTACCGCTAGGCCATCAGAGTGATAGAGATGCCCAATTATTGGATTAACTCTATATCTGTAATCATTCTATCTACAGAAAGCTCTACTTTCTGAAACTTTCTCCACAAATCACCAATCAAACCCCAAGCCTAAAGTGGGCTCACTCTGATGTTTTCCTGAGAGATATTCTCTGGTTCCCACAATGTGTTTCCTCTCAGACCTGATTTGGTCAACTACAGTTCTTTTGGTCTTGGGACAAAGGACATGGACAGAACAAACAATATAAGCACTTTGCTTATTGGCACTAGAACAACTCGTACTGGTTTTCAAGAACATTTATGAATATTGAAGGAAAATGTATGTGAGCATCTCTGTCTTTGAGATGTTGAAGAAGAGTGCTGAAAACTCCACAGACACTCAAGAGAGCAACCAAATACGTCTTGGAGAAAGCACAACCACGGTTCTCCTTGGAGACAAGGGGGGTTAAACCTCGCCTCACATACTTTAAGCATGTTGTTAGAAGGTGCCAGTTCTTCTGAAAGGATTTCATGCTTGGAAAGATGGAATGTCATTGAAAGAGTGGAAGACCTTTAACAAGATGAACTGATCGACTGTAACAATGAGCTCTGAGATCAAGCATATTGGGGATGATGAAGATGGCACAAGACAGCAGGGTTCAGATCCATTGTTCATAGGGTTGCTATGAGTTGTTGTTGACTTGATGGCACATAACAACAACATGGTACCAACTGGTCTCAAAAGCATTCTATGTGATCTTTAGTGTCATAGAAGAAGCTTTACCAACAGGATCTTCCACATAGATCAGGCAACAGCAAATTGTAGCCCACCAAATGCTTTTTCCAATAACCTTCCCCCCCCCCCCCATCAATCCACAATCTTTCACTTTGATAGTGTCTTTTGGAGAGTTTGGGTGGCCTAGTGGTAAGAAGTTGTGCTGCAATCCTGAAGGCATAACATTCGAATCCACCAGCCTCTCCACAGAAGAAAGATGGGCAATTTCCTCCTGTGTGATTAACTGCCTCTGAAAACCCGCTGGAGGGTCAGCTATGAGTGAGTTCTGAAAACAGTACACAACAACAGCTTGCTGCTTATGATATACAATGGCTAAGTCATCAGGACAGACTACGCACGACAAAGTAAAAATATTTATTATATCCTCCTTTTCAGAAAAGAAGCCTAACATAGAGTGAGAAAGGAAGAGAAGGAGGAGAAAGAGTAGGAATAGGAGAAGGAAAGGAAGACAGGGTTGTTGTTGTTGTTGTTGTTCTTGTTCTTGTTATGTGCCGTCGAGTCATTTACGACTCATAGTGACACTATGTACAACAGCCCTAAACTGTGCTCTATCCTGTGCCAATCTCATTGCCTCTGACACACCCATCCCGATTACCCCAGTCATTGAATCAATCCACCTCATAGAGGGTCTTCCCCTCCTGCGCTGTCCCTCCACTCTACCCAGCAGGATGTCCCTCTCTAAACACCTGTCTCTACTTACAACATGCCCAAAAGTATGTCAGACGAAGCCCCAGAATCCTTGCCTCCAAGGAGCATTCTGGTTTAACCCTCTCTAGGATGAATCTGTTTGTTTTCTTGGCAGTCCATGGTACATTCAATACTCTTCTCCAGCACCACAGCTCAAAGGCGTCAATTCTCCTTCTATCCTCCCTAGTCATTGTATGCAGAGGAGATTATCCGAGAGGCTGGGCTCTATGAGGAGAATTGTGGCGTTAGGATTGGTGGACGATCTATCAACAATCTGCGTTATGCAGATGACACAAACCTGCTCGCTGAAACTGAGGAGGACCTCATGCACTTACTGCAGAGGGTCAAGGACTGCAGCCTTCAATATGGGCTGAGGCTCAATGTCAAGAAGACAAAAAGTATCACCACTGGACCAATCGGTAGCATCGGGATGGATGGCGAAGAGATTGAGATTGTTCACAGCTTCCGTTTGCTCGGCTCCACGGTCCTCTTGGCACCAGTAGCCAGGAAATAAAAAAAAAACGTATTGCGATGGGAAAGTCTGCGGTTAGGGACCTCTCTAAAGTACTCAAGAGCAACGGTGTCTCTCTGGAGACTAAGGTGCGCCTGATATAGGCCATGGTTTTTGCAATCACTTGTTATGCATCAGAGAGTTGGGAAGACAGGGAGAGGAGGAAAAATCAGAACAAGAAGGGGAATCAGTAAAGGAGAAGGAAGTGGAAGAGAGGAAGAACAGGAGAAGGAAGAGAATAAAAAGAAGAAGGTCATTTCTTTCAGTCTACATCTGTGTGCAGAAGAGGGGAAACAGTGAGGCATTTTGGAATACTGAGAACTGAAAGAAAGAAGTTCTTGTGTTCCGTTACTTGACTAGAAAGATAAACCTACCCAGAGAGAATGGAGAAAGATATGAGACTGTGGAAAGGAGTCAGAGGGGGAAGAGAGAGGAAAGAGATCATCAGAGAAAACAAAGTCTCCAATCTTGACTTTGGAAACTGGGGATTGTACTTCGCTTGGGTCAGAATGAGCTAGACATACCTCTTATTCTAGGCTGCTGTCATACATAAAATGCCTAATCATACATTTCTTTTAAACAGTTCCAGTTCTTCCCTTCATCTATTCCTATGCAATGGTCATTATCTATTCACTCTTATTCTCCAAATCCTCCATGTCAGACCTGCTTTGTAACAGTGGTGCTATGCATTATTTGACCTTTTGCGACTGAAATATTTCACTCAGCATGATGTCCCCCATGTTGTGTAATATTTTATGAGTTCATTGTTTTTCAGTGCTGCATAGTATTCCATCATAGGCATATACCATAGTTTTTCTATCTGTTCATTTCTTGATGGGTACTTGAGTTGCTTCCATCTCTTTGTTGTTCTATATAACTAGGCATTATATGTATTACAACAACCCAGAATAAGAGGTACATCGTGGCAAAGAGGACAGGGGGGAGGTAGGTAATTGTGCAACAATGAATGAATATTTTTAAAAAGTGAACTGGGGAAGAGGGAAGGGCAGGTAAAATGTGCAACAATGAATGAATAAAACTCTAACTTCTTTATGAATAGTCCTTAAAATCACAATTAAAATAAAATTTTATTTTAAAAAAAATGAGCTAGAGATGTGTCCAACTACACTAAGAAAGTTGTTCTCCCACTCAAGAGTCTAAACTTCCTTAAAGTGTGGATAGAGTGTTAGCATCAGCATCTGCCTTCCATTCTGCTGTTCAGCCCCACCCAACAGCCTCCCCCACAGAGAGGACCATGGGAAAGCACAACCTTGCACCTGCACGTGGATCACTTCGTAGACACGCCGCACAATGTCATCCAGTGCCACAGAGATGTTGACCAGAGGCAGAGGTCGCGGCACCCCCAGCAGCAGATGTGACACCGTGGTGGAGGGGTCCCCACGCATTGAGTGCAAGTGGTGGACAGTGGAGTCCAGTGGCTGCAGGGCACTCGTGATCTGTGAAAGCAGAGCCAGCACATCACATGGTGGAAGGAAACATCCATTTGACAGATGAGATTACAGTTCAAAGAATTTAAAAGTAATGATCCAAGGTTGTTCTAAGGACCAGTGGCAGGATTTACGATGAGAGATCTTACATAACAAGCTTATTAGACCAATACGATTGAAAAAATAAGATGTGCTCATTCATACACATTCATGTACACATATTTAGACACACATCCACATCCACACACTCACCTTCCCACATAAGTACATTCAGTCACACAATCACACACTCTCACAAACACACTGATGCACACACATCCATATAATCGCTCACACTCAGATGCATGTAGACATACACACTCATGTATACACACACACACAGATATATACACAGGCTAACATCCTCACAGATACAGTGACATTAAAGATATATACGATCTAAAACAAAAACCACATCCCCACAATCACTCACTCTCAGATACATGTACACATATATACAGGCTCACATGCTTACATACACAATGACATGCACACACATACATATAAAGGTACACTCTCAAACATGCACACATATAGACTCACACAACCCACTGCATAGTCACACCATGCTCCATTCTGCTTTGCAGAAAAGGATTTCTACAATTTTTTTTCTCTGGTTTTTTTTTCTACAATATTTTAACACTTAGGAGCATCCCAATAAAAGTCCTGCCAACCAGAATTGCAAATCTTTCTTCAACACCAGCCAAGCCCAGGACCTTCACCAAGCACCCTCACTGATGCTGTGGGTCTTTTGTGGCTGAAAAGGAGAAAACAGAGCTGCAAAGCCAAGCCACATTCTTGCGTTATATACATCTGATTTTTTGATTGTTGTATTGATATTTCTCTCTCATTTCACGAAAGCTCTTTTAATTTCAGCCTGATATTTTGAATCTCAATCCCAGCAAAACCAGGTGACTCAGTATCCTTGCAAAACAGATTTGGCCAACTGATCCTTAAGTCTCTTTTGGGTGCAAGAAAGGTAGTTTGAGGAGAGAGCCGAAGTCCTTCTCTTTAAATATTTACATAAACAAGCTTTAAACATTTTCATGAAAAGATATAGAATTCATAATTTAAAAGAAAGAAAAGAGATGTCGATTTCTTATTCAAGAGCAGGACCAGACTTTCCTGTCATCATTTATCAGGGCTCACCATCGGCATCCTGCGCCAGGCATGGCTGCTCCCTTGAGGGGGCAATAACCTGGTCAGAGAAGTGAAACTTAACACCTGTGAAGAGATAGCACGTGATACTGCGATGCCAATAACCAACCTCACTCAAACCTCCACCTCTCTCCTTCTTTCTCTATTTCTCTTTCTCCCCTTTCTCTCTCCTTCTTCTGTCTCTCTTTCTCTCTCACACACAGTGCCATGGAGTCAAAACAAATTCATGACTGACCCTCCAGTGGGTTTTCTGAGGCTGTAAATCACATGACAGGAGATTGTCTATTTTTCTCCCTCAGAACTGCTGGCAGATTTGAACCTCCAGGGAGCTACGGTGGCTTAGTGGTAAGGAGTTGCACTGTCAACCCAAAGGCACATGATTCAAATCCACCAGCTGCTTCCCAGGAAAGTTGGGCAGTCACCCCTTATGATTTACTTAGAAAACCTATTGGAGGGTCAGCTATGAGTCAGTTCTGACTCAACAGTACATGACAATAGCTTAACCCTCACAATCATCCTCCCTATCGGAATATACTTATAATGGAAAGGATCCAGGTGAAAAGACAGGGTAATGATGGGCAAGGTCCAATGATGTTTGACTTTAAAAAACATAATGCATGGGAATGAGTGTATGAAACACAGTGTGAATGAAGAACAGTGTGAAACACAATGTATATAAACTTTGTAAACAAATCAATTTTTTTTAAAAATGTAATTTTTTTTTTAAAAAAAGGCAGTAACTAAGACACAAAGAGTTATCCAACAACACACTGCTAGTGAGTGGAAGCGTGGAGACTTGAACCCAGGCAGTCTGACTCTAAACTCTCGCTGACCAGGTGGGAAACTGTCAGCAAGCTAAAAACAGCTGATGTCACTTTTCCCCGGAGTGGTCCAGGAGGCCTGCAGGCCGAGGTGGGCAGAGGACTTCTCGCACAGCTATCCTGAGCAGCAAGCAGCCCAGTCGTGGTGAATGTGTGTGCCTCCTGTTTCTAGCACACATCAGTCGTGATAACAGGAGGGGCCATGAGACAGACACCATGACAGCCAGCGGCCCCTAGGAGCTGAAAGTCAGGTACACAACTACATAACGTGTAGAGCCCGGTGCTAAATGAAAATGTGAGTCTGAGTTCAAAAGTTATGAAACATTTTAAGAGAAGATGGCAGGGCACTCAAGGTGGCAGGATAAGGGCCCCCTTTGAGTGTGAACCCTGAAGAGGCTACTGTCGAGGGGGCACCTTAGTGTGATGAGCAGAACCCTGACCATTACTGTGATTCCCGAGACTATGGTGACACCCAGTGTGTGGGACCATCCTGGCTGCACACCGCTACTAAGACATCAGGACTCGTGAGCCATGTCAACCATCGCTGTTCTCACCTAGGGGTGGTTTTACTTGATGGAGAACAAGCAGCAACATCTAGAAACATTTTCAATTGTCACCATTTGGGGCTGTGCCTGAAAGCTGGTGGGCACAGGCCAGGATGTTGCTAACCACTCTCCAGTGTAGGGAACAGCCCCTCATGACAGAGAACGATGCAGCTCAAAGCATCAGTCGAGTGAGGTGGAATATTCTGTCTAGAGCTTTTTTCCCCGGTGTTCTGATCCCTCTCTGAACGTGTGCTCTGCAGCTCCTACATAGACACCTACCATGGAGTACAGGAGCCTCACGTGGTTCAGCAGCTGCGGGTCCACGTGCTTGAGCTCCCTGAAGTCCATTTTCACCAGCACCATCACATTGTACCAGGAAGTCGTCACATTCCTCTCCAGAGATTCTTAAAGGCAAATGCTGATGGTTACAAGTTCTGAGAGAAGTCAGTGCCCTTCAGGGGCCCCAGGAGTGGAGGAAAGGAGGAGGCGACTGGCAAGAAGAAGGTATTTATCTCCTACAGGAAGAAACCTGGCCTTGTGAGAAGGGCCTCACTTCCTCCGCTTCCTGCTCTGAAAACTCTGGAAGCCGCTGGCCTGGGGTCAGAGATGGACCTGATCTCACAGAAATACACTTGGGATACCCAACCTATGATGTAAATTTAGACAATGCTTAGTAATTTATCTATGCAACACTATTCAATAACTTAAAAATTACAAATATTTTATAACCTAACCATAAACATTGTACTATAATTCCAATACTATAAATAAGAACTAATAAGTAATGTTAAAGAATTTAAATATGCCTTTAATTTAATAATTTTACATTTAGAGATATTACTCAATTATTTAAATATCATAAATTATCTCTAACAATTTATTACAAATAATCTCTAACAATTTCACTATTGTTAATAACTATAATGTTGTTGTTGTTGTTGTGTGCCTTCAAGTCCACTATGACTCATAGCGACCCTTTGAACAGTGTCTCTGAACCTTGCCCTATACTGATTCAACTGCACTCAGACACACCTGACTTTTTGCCACAGTCACTGTGTCAATCCATCTTATGCAGCGTTTTTCTGTCTTGCATTCAGCTCCCTCTACTTCCCAAGTATGATGTTCTTCTCCAAAGACTGGTCCCTCCAGGCAACATGCCCAGAGTATGTCAAATGGAACTTCAAAATCCTTGTCTCCAAGGAGCATTTTGGTTTCACTCTCTCCAAAACCGACCTGTTTGTTCTCTCAACATTCCGTGGTATGTTCAATATGCTTCTCCAGCACCACAACTCAAAGGCCTCATTTCTTTTTATGTCATCCTTAGTCATTATTCAATTCTCAGACGCATACCAAGCAATTGAAAAGATTATCACCTGGATCCGGTGCACCTTATTCTCTAGACTGACATCATTCCTCTTTAGCACTTTGGAGAGGTCCTTGACAGCAGATTTTCCCAATGCAACTCATCTTTTTATTTCTTGACTGCTGATGCCAAGAATATTGATGTGGATCCAAGCAAGATGAAATAATTAACAACTTCAATCTTTTCTCTTTCATGATACTTTTTGCCTGTGGTGAAAATTTGTTTTCTTGACGAGATGCAGTCCATATTGAAGGCAGTAGCAGTCTTTGACCTTTTTGCAGCAAATGCTTTTAATCTTCCTCAGTTTCAGTGAGCAAATTGTTTTGCTGTTGTTGTATGCTGTCGAGTTGGAATTGACCCATAACTGACCCTCCAGCGGGTTTTCAGAGGCAGTTAATCTCACAGGAGGAGACAGCCCATCCTTTGTCTGCATTGTTACTGTTATGTGCTGCCAAATTAATTCTTACTTATCATGATCCTATGTGATCAAGCAGCTCTGTGGAGTTTTCTGTGGTCCTCATGAGCAGATCACTAGATCATTCTCCTGTCTCTCTCTCTCTCTCACTGACGTTAAGTCAGAATCAACTCATAGCTGACCCTCCACTGGATTTCTGGGGCTGTAAATTGCCAGGGAGGACACTGCCCATCTCTCTCAGAGCTGCTGGTGAATTTGAACCACGAGAGAGGTGCAGCCTTTGGGTTAGTCGTACAACTCCCTGTGGACTACACCGTCAGACTCCCTGGGAGAGTTCAAACTGTCAGCCTTCCAGTTTACAGAAAACTGTTTCTTAACTATTGCACCATCAGGGCTATTTTTAATAAGTGAATATTATATTATAAATTATATCTGATTATTTAAATGTCACAAATATTATCTTTCATTTTAAACTTCATATATTGTTTAGACACTTTTTTTTATATTCTTTTTTTTTCCTCTCCAGAAATTGGCTCTGAACATTGACAAACTGTTCTCCTGGATGCAGCACTCTTCTCAAGGACAAAACATTCCAGACAAGGCAGATGCACACAGGCTGGCCTGGATTCCAGGTCCCTCTAGGCTGCAGGAGTCTTCTCTAGGATCATGTAAGATTTATAATAACATCTTCACCTTCCAAAAAACCCCTGGGGCCTCCTGGGACTTCTGTGGAAAAGTCAAGAGTCTTCTGCCTCTGGAGCACTGTCCCCCTGTCCCTCTGAGAGATGTAGATAAAAACACCTCTCAGAATCTGCTCAAATGCGTAACTTCAACTCTGGAGGACATTCACTCCATCTGGAACCCATCCCACCAACCCTCCCCTCCCAGAAGGGCCGCCCTCCCACAGGAACGTTCACCCCACCTTAGAGACTTTAAGTGACTGTGGCTGTGGCCTACCTGGGGGTGCAGAGTCCACGCATTGATGGCCCCTAAATGAAGGGCAGCACTTCTGGAGCCCAGGGCAGTCAGTGTCGAGGGTACAAGGTGAGGTGGACAGTCCCAGTCCTGCTGCTGGGCAGACACCAGGCCTCGATGCGAACTCCCTGGAGTGGTTCAGGGCTGGGGGACAACACAGTGAATGAGGCTGAGGACCTCCTGCATCAGATCTGTCCACAGTGTCTGGAGGGGTCGTGTGGGGTCTCCAGGCTGGGCCTCTCAGCCCACTCCTGACCTCACGGACTAAATCAAGTCCAAATCAGAGTAACCCTGCAGGACAAAGTAAAGCTGTCCCACAGGGTTTCCCAGCCTCCAATCTTCATGAGAAGAAAACCCTAGTGGTTTAGTGGATAGAGAGCTTTACTGCCAACTCAAAGGCGGGTGGTTCTAATACACCAGCCACTCTGAGAGGACTGTCTCCTCCCGTGTGAGGTACAGCCTCTAAAACCTGCTGGAGGATCAGCTACTGTAGTAACTTCCAATTTGACAATAATGAATTTTAGTTTCATGGGACTTTTTACATCTTTGTAAGAAGGAATTCTGGTGGCCTACTATCTAACATCATGCTAATGAGCAAGCGTAGCCAAGTTTTAATCTACCAGCAACGAACGACACTGAAAAAAATGGCAATCTCCTTCTCAAAAGATTTACTGCCTCACAAAACTGGTGGAGGGTGACTGTGACTTGGAACTGACTCCACAGCAGTAGCTTTAATCACTGTGGGAGAGACCCTGGTAACACGGTGCTTAAAGTAGTTGTCTGATCAATGAAAGATCCATGATTTACCCTACCAACAACTCTGTAGGCCAAAAGATCTAACAATCCGCTTCCATAAAGCCTACGTATAAAAACAGCCAAAGCCGCCAAATCCACTCTGGTCAACTCAAAGTGACTCCAGCTGCTCCGAAGTGTTTCCAAGGCAGTGGATCTTTAAAGAAGCAAAGCGCCCCATCCTTCTCCTGCAGCACACATGGTCGGTGTGAACTGCTGGCATTTCAGTTGGCAGCATGGTGTCTTATCACCGCCCCACCTCTCGCTAAGATTGTTGTCGTTATGTGCCATGGAGTCAGAAGCGACTTCTAGCTGACTCTCCGGTGGTTTTCAAAGACTGTAAATCTCATGGGAGGAGATCGCCCATCTTTCTCCTGAGGAGTTGCTAGTGGATTTGAGCCATTGTCTTTTGTTAACAGCGCACTTCCTGACTCATGAGACACCAGAGTGAGTAACTATAGGCAGTTCTATTCTAACAGCCACTATGATGCAGAATCAACGTGACAGCACACAACAACAGCGATGTGCCAGTGCTGTTTCCTTAGCTGTGACAAATGTGCCACGGCCAATAAAATTCAGTGGTAGGATCCTCGCCCTCCTCGTGAGAGACGCAGCTGATCTACCTCACGTGCAGTCACCCCCTCAGCCAGGGGAGGCTGGTGTGTGGCTTCAAACAGGTATCAAGGGATCTTCCAGACGAAGACAGATTAGAAAGACAGGCCTGGTGACCAACTACCAAAACTCACAAAGGTCTCCTCCACACCGATCGTGGAGGCGGCCCAGGACCACTAGTGCTTCGTGCAGAGGGTTCCGTGAACCCAAGACTGACTTGGACCATGAAGGGCGCTTGGCCTAGTGAGCGGGGAGTTGTGCTGCTCCCAAAGGTGGCACCCCTGTAGCGGTTCACACCCACCAGCCGCTCCCCAGGGGAAAGATGTAGCTCACCTCTGAAAACCTGCCCGAGGATCCACGATGACTCAGTTACAACTCGACAGTAATGAGAGAAAAATGAAGGATCCTAACACTAGGGAAATCTAAGAGAAGGGTACACACAGGAACTACCTTTATTAAGTAGAGTATACTCTGAAATATACTCTAAACTCAAAAAGTGCATTTAAATTAAATAAAAATGTAAAGAGAGGTTAATATTTCAGAACCTCTCCAGTGGTTGCCTTATTATGATTTATGAGTTAGTAAGCTGTGTGAAAGGATTGCCTAGAGGTTGTGCTGAAAATCTGGAATCTTTCAGTAGGGTGTTTGGGTAAGGAATTGTCCAGAGATTGTAGTTTTGTTGTTTTTTTTTTTTAGTTTTTTTTTTCTTTTTGAGATTGTAGTTTTAACACCTTTTTTAAAAAATGTGCAACAGTGAATGAATATTAAACAACAAAAGTGGACTGAGGGAGGGGGAAGGGAAGTGGAGGGAGGTAAATGTGCAACAGTGAATGAATGAAAATCAACTTCTCTGTAAACTTTTGTTAAAATCACAATTAAAATAAGAAATTATGTTTAGAAAAGTGTCAGTAGACAAACTAAAGAAAGAAAACCCAGACAGACCATCAAAACAAAGAGAAAAGAGCTTCCAAAAGTATTTGCCTAACCACAGCAGAAGTGTTTTCAAGTTAAAATTCATAATCTTTATTTAGTTGCTGCTGAACTGGCCCATTACCAACACTTGAAAAGAGCCAGCAATTGCATTTGGTAGAAAGTCAAAACCTTTTTCCCCCCCCCCCCCCCCCCGGCCCCCCAACTCCCTCAAACAATGAAACAGAGCAGCCCATTGCCTGGCAACCCGACCAGCTCCACCTCCGCCAGGCAACAGCTGGAGGTTTCTACTTGAGCAAAGCATCAAAGGCTCTCTAGGGACAAGGAATCTGATCAGCTTGGGAGTTATGGTCCCTAAACCCATAAGGTGTTGTGAGGATAACAAGTGCCCAGGGAAAATGTCTAAATTGCAAACTCCCCTTCCCATTTCAAGGTGAATAAACTGGCTTCATGAGTCGGTAGAAATGCTTGCTCTGCTCTTGTCCAGCTGCTTCAATCAGTGGCCTTTCACATTTGTGACACCTCAGAATATTCCTGTGATACCTCATCACAACATTCTGTGCCTTATCTGGAAACCCTGGATGACAGAGTTTGAGATAAAGATCTCCCCTCTGAGTCAAGAGAGAGAAAGAGCTTTCCTCTAAAGCCAATAACCAGAATTCACACTCCCAATCGCCTGAACTTGAAGAAACCAATCCCTCTCATTTAGACCAGACATTTGTGATATTTCTTTTATAATTACCCTAGGAAGCTAAGACAAAAGATGCTACTGTGGTTTGATATCTAAGACGCAGAGTTCTCCTACTAGGAATTGATCCTGAGGGCTCCTTAGAGACCAAGTTGGTGAAACTTCATCTCACAGACTTTGGGTATCTTCTCAGGAGGGGGCAGAGCTTGGGAAAGGACATCATTCTGGGAAAGGTGAAGGGTTAGAGGAAGAGAGGAAGACCCTCAATAGGTGAACTCACACACACACACAAAAAAATGGGCTTGAACTATTAGAACCTCTACTAGGAATACCATTGCTTTTTAATTTTTGACTCATGTACTTTTAACTTGTTAGTTAAATTTGTGTCTTCTAGGCTGCAACAGTTCCATGATACAGTTTCAAGGATATGAACATGTACGGCTAAGTACAACTGATAACAGTGCATTTAAATTCCAAACTCAATCTCCACAATAGTCTACATGTTTCCTATGGCCAAAGGGGCCCTTTAGAGTAGTGAGAGAAGATCTTCACCCTGAAACCTATAGCATCCCTTTTTAGCAGGAAGTAGCTAAAAGAATACGCCATCCCCTTTTCCTTATGAATCAGGGTGAAATCTCTCTCAGGGAGGAGTGATAGGGAATGGCAAAGGACACACTGACAAAGGAGATTAATCAGAACTGGCTGTGGCAGTGGGACAATTAAAACAGATTTTCAAGGGGGGAAAAAAGAGGAACGAACTGGGGTGGGGGAGGGTAGAGAAAATAGTGCAACAATGAATAAATGGAAACCCAAAATCTCTGTAAATGTTCATTAAAATTAATAAAATTTAATATTTTAAAAAAATGGGCTTGAATATGTCGGAAATTGTGAGGTTGGTGCAGGATAGGGTGAGGTCCAGATATGTTATACACAGGGTCCCTGTGATTCATTGTCACCTTGACAGCACCTAACAAGAGCAAATAATCCATATTGAACAAAGACACCTTGTTGTTGTAGTTGTTGTTGTTGTTGTTGAGTACCATCTAATCTGAATTGTCCCATAGTCTACTCTGTGGTGAGTTTTCAGAGGCAGCAAACCACCCAGGAGGAGATTGCACACCCTTCTCCTGAGCAGGAGCTGGTGGATTAGAACTGCTTGCCTTTGGGATTGCAGCATAAGGCCTCCAGAGTTCTCTTACAGATACCTTACAGCAGTAAATGGTGCAGATTGTGCACAGCACTACTTGTACCAGACGATGTTCATCCCAATGCTGTTTATAATAATGGAAAATTGGAAACGGCTACCTGTCAACGTGGTAAATGGTAGGGGATTGCTTAATCAACGTTGATACATCCCTAACGAGGTCACTGAGTCACACTACACTGCAGTCTTTATCGACATCAAGAGATGCACAGAACAAACTGCTAATTGGGTAAGTCAGCTACACAAGATCTTGAACAGGATGGCCACACTCTGTAAACACGTGCACTGGACAAGCACTAGAAGAAAATGTTATTAGCAGTCGCCTTCAGTCTATCCCAACTCAGGGTGGCCTGTGTGTGCAGAACAGAATGCTTCACAGGCTTTTTAAGTTCGTGGCCTTCCAGACACAGATCCTCAGGCCTTTTCCCAGAAGCCTCTGTGTGGATTCAAACTACCAGCCATTCACACCATTTTCACCCAGGGACTCCTAGAGAAAGAGTTCTCATTGCCATCAGAACCGACTCACAGCTGACCCTGCGTGGGGGGGGGGGCAGGGTCAGAACTGTAAATCGCACTGGAGGAGAGTGCCCGTCCTTCTCCTGAGGAGCAGACACTTGCCTTTGGGTGGGCAGTGCAGCTATATACCCAGTAAACCACGAGGGCTCCCAGCAGTTGCTATTCCTGGACAGCCAGCTTAAAAGGAGCTTCTGATTACTTGCATTTGTCTGTGTTTCCAAATTTCTGTTTTAATTTTTGTAATTAGGAGAAAAGGTGAATTTAGATAATGTATGACTCTACAAACTCTCTAAACTCTATAAATATACAGAAATTATGTTGGTTAAAGAACATAGTTCTGTACAGAAATGATGTTAGTCATAGAATAGAGTTTAGGTCTTTTGTGCAAAACTTACTCTCAGT